TTTTCTTTTGCACGATTTTCCATTTCTGGTCGCATTAAGCCTGAATTTATATTTTCAGAGGCCTTCAAAATTTAAAGATTGAAGACCACAACTTTTCAGAGTTTTATCCTCCTTTTCAAGGTTTTCTTGCTATTTGTCCTACTATATTCTCCTTTCACAAACTATAATCTTGTTCAAAGAAATAGTTCTTTATTCGTATGATATGTATTTAAAAATGATGAATCCGCTTACATATTATGGAACTTAGCAGTAAGGCTACTTTAACATATCTTTGACTATGATATTTGCATTTTCCTTTTATTGCCTTTTCTTAATTATTCATAATTGGAGGGATTTCACAAGCACTAAAATAACTTGTCTTTACACATTAGTTGCTTCTAAAAAAAGATCTTTCTTCATGTAGGAGATATCATTTGTGGGGTCTCATTTCAACTCTGTTATTGCTACTGGTCATGCTCAACCGATGTATATGTGGGGACTACTATAGGTATTTCTTAAATTGTATACAAGCGAGCACACACATTTATATAATTATATTTTATTTGGGGTACGGGTGGGATGCCTTTTTTGCTTGACTCAATTATTTGAAGTCATTTGCAAGAATTGTCCATTTGAAATAATATTAACACTCACTCATTTATGTTACAGTCTATGATGTCACCTTATGGGGCTTCATATGTGGCATTCTATGCTTATGGAAGAGTTTATGGAAACCCCTTTAACCGATAAAGCCATATGAAAAACACTCAAAGAAGCGAACTTCGATGAAGAGTTCATCAAATACAGAGACAATGTTTCTTTGATTGCCTATATTGCTAAACTCGAAGCCGATGTCTTTTTTTCAACTTCTTTGCGTATTTATCATATTTATTCATTCAATGTTTCTTTCTTTCTTTCTTTCTGTTTTTTTTTTTTTTTGATTGATTTTCTATTTTTCTTGTTGTATAGTTTATTTCTTTCTATTTGCAAAGATTGAAGGTATAAGTCATCTGATTTTCAAAAGCATCTTTCGTAATATCTTTATTCTCTAGAAGAGTTTGAGCCGCAATTTTTGTTTTCATTTATAGTTTCTCCGAAGCGATAAACAACTTGGTTTTTTTTTCTCCTATGGGTGAAAGATTAAAAAAACAAGTGATTTTGCTCTTTTATTATTGTTAGGGTGATTTTTATTAACAAAAGCTTCCTAAAAAACTCAAGAGGTTGATTGGGAATATCACTTTTTGCAGTAATTAAATGCTTAAATTTTTAGCACTTTTTATTTTTGGATCAAAGGCATTGCTTAGAATTTTTTTGTGTATTACTATTTTTGTAGTTAAAGGGTGTACAATATCACTCATGAAACTATAGAAATAACTCTGTTTTGTGATAGTTAGCATATGGTCTTTCCTGGAACCCTCGGTTTTGTCTTCCAATCTAATCACCAACAATTCTTATAGTTTTATTGGATATGATTCAATACATATGAAAAGGACTTTCATCCCTAGCGATGTGGTTAATTTTAGTTATTATACAATTTCTTATTATAATGATCATTGTAATTGTTTAATTTGATACTTTGTTTACTTGTTTTTGTTTACAGTCTGTGTTCATTTGATTTGTAAATGTAGCCGAGGGTCAAGGGACCAGTCAAAATACCTACTAAGGCTCTTCGCATCGCTGCTAGGAGTCACCCTTTGGTAAATGTATTACTTCCAACACAAGTCTAATAATACGAGTCTCTTAACATGTAAATATCCTTAATATCGTATGCTGCTTGGCAAAATGATGTAGTGTGCAAATTTATGAAGTTGTGGTTCTTTCAGGGATGTGTAGTATATGTATGTTTATCAATTACTCGGTTAGGTTATTGTTATTTAATTGTACAGATTTGCCATCCATGATGCAATATTTCAACATGCTAACATTACTTTAAAAATAACACAATCCGTTCATTGTACGGGCAAAAGACTAGTATCTATAAAGATGATGAGCTGCTTTGCTATGTCGGGGTGGGAACAAGATAAGAACATGGTCCCCACGCCCCACGCCCACTTCTTATTTATTATTATACTTTCAAATCTAAAATTTATGTAAAAAATTTATAATAAAATAAAAAAGTACGTGTAAGGGATGAAAATTTGAGATATTTTATATTTTTAATGCCCTTCCTACCCCTACAATATTCACATTCCTTTGTCATATGCCTTGAAAAACTTGTGGCTGCAAAGTTTGAAAATATATGCCACTTGATTACTATCTGACAAATGGCAATTTGCTGTGGCACTTAGTGGAATATTTATGTCAGATTGTTGTCCATTATTTATGAACTAACAAGGTAACAATCATTCAAAAAATTAACGTTAAAGGATCTTATTGCAACAAATTAAAGTGGAATGATCGAATTAAAATTTTACTAAACGTTAGTGACTAAAAATGTAATTAACTCTGATTTGTATGATATCAAGTGACGCACTACTCGACAGGTTCAAAATTTCTTTCTTACTTTACTGATATCCTACTAGTTATTCATATCATATATAAAAAGTAACAAATAGATCAAATTCCATTAAATGTTAAGAGTCTCTACAAAATCTCCAAACTGATTATATAGTGTGCGACTTACGCATATAATCTTCTATATTTGATTATTATCCGTACTAGTTTTAAATATATATTCGATATGTTCAGAAACCGAGGTCCGACGTACACATGGATTGATATGCATAAAAAAGTAATACTGATGATGATTTTGAGTAGATCTAGGCAGAAATATAAAAAGATGTAGGATTGATTGCACTTTTGGTCACTAAACTTTTAGTAAAATTTTAATTGGACTACTCAACTTCAATTTATATTAATTAAATTAATTGATTTTAATTTACTTCCAACATTATATACTTGTACTAAATTTAAGGTCACAATCCTACATATAAGTAGCATTCTAGTTGTCTTACGTAGAAGTATGCCAACTAATATGTCGTGAAAATAAATTTGTATTTAAAAATTGACGATTCGAAACACACTTAGAGCTCCGTTCATTTTAAATTTCAGGATTTTGATTAGATAACAAGTATACCTAGAACAGAAGAAAGGGAAGGACTAAAGTTGAAAATATATGAAAGATGCTTTAATTGCTTACAAGTCCATTTTGTACTTTTCTTCACCAAAGCAACTTTCTAAAATCTTGCAACCTTTTCTTTGTACTCAGCTCCACTTTTAAATATTCTCTATCCCATATGAACAGAGCCAACGTGGCCTGTTCAAAACAACGTTACCCCACTCTTTGTAGAAATCAAACATTTGAATTTGAATTTGATTTGATATAAGTGAATACCTGTAAAGTGTTTTATTTAATAATAAAATAAAATAAAAATCCCACACGTCTTCTATACGGTTACGTTTATCACTCCAAAAACCAAAACCCCCTCTTTTTGTGAATCAAAATCTCAAAAGAGGGGTTTAATAGCTTGCTATAAAATTCGTGACCATTCTCTCACCCAGAAACTGTTGTCAACTTTATACGCCCTTTTTTCACCCGAAGTGGGATCTCCCACGCATGTTCTTCCTTCTCCATTACTCACATCGATTCATATTGACAATATTTCTTTTATTTATTTATTTTGGGAGTTGTTCTGCATAATTTTTAATCAAGAAATCAGTTTTGTTGGATTTTCTGCATATCCCTTATTTGATTTTTAAATCTTGGAAATAATGAGGGAAATTTGGGTTTTGGTCTTTTTATTTTGGGGTGGTGGGTTTGCTGAAGGGCTTGGTGTGAACTGGGGTACAATGGCAACCCACAAGTTGCCTCCCAAAGATGTGGTGCAGATGCTGAAAGACAATGGAATAAAGAAGGTGAAACTGTTTGATGCAGATCAGTCAACCATGAGTGCTTTGGCTGGCACAGACTTTGAAGTCATGGTTGCAATACCGAATGACCAGTTAGCTGTCATGGGAAATTACAATCGAGCCAAGGAGTGGGTCAGGCGCAATGTCACCCGATACAATTTCAATGGCGGTGTCAATATCAAGTAACCCTTTTATGCTTTACCTATCAAGTTTCTGTTTTTCCTTGGATTGATTTACATATATGTTGGTAAAATACTTTATTTGTAAGCAAATTAACTAGCTGCTCATACAATCTTCTTATGTTGAAGATAGAAGCAGCATTATTGCACGATAAGTGGATCCGTGCAGGGGTTACATTTATGTCTAGTTATTGGCTGATCATCCTTTGTTTTCCAATTCCAACTTGCATTAAATAACTAGTTTTTAATAAGGTCATGTTGAAGAATTTATGGAAGTTGTGTCTGCAATTTTATTAATTTTTTCCTTCGGTTAGCCAACACTACAGGAATTAGATAAGATTATTTGATCCATACGCTTACATCAAACCATCCCCATTTCAACCTGAGCAGTTTTGATTTGTTTTTCTTGCCTCCGCAGTGCCCCAAACTCCACAGAGAGATGAAAAAGTACAGATAAATTTGAAATTTATCTTGCCTTGTTGTCTGAGAAATTGTAGAATGATTCTATACTCGTTACTGAGATATTAGAGTGCTACTTTTCTTTAACGTGAATAAAATTTTTGCTGTAGCTTAGTTGTTAAGCCTGTCACGTGCTCCTTGGAGAAAGTTTAAAAATTGGGGCTTTTAATCAGTTATTAGGTCTGTCATCAGAAGTCCTGTTTTCCTTCCAGGAAATTCAGAACCGTGTGAGGAACTTTCCTGGACAAGCTCTGCTTAAGAAGAGTTAATATCGTTGTCTCTTGAAGAGATGGCATTTATGTATCAATTTCTTGTGAAATTATGCATCTGACATTCTGCATATATAAGATCACACGAGCAATTGAATGATTTTCTTGATATTATATGATACCATGTGGAGTTGTCATCCATTTTTTGTGAAAAATCACCTTAGCAATATGGTTTTATTTCTTGCTTCCTTGCCGTTGTGCAGATATGTGGCAGTTGGTAATGAGCCTTTCCTCACTTCCTACAACAACTCATTCTTGAACACAACCTTCCCAGCTCTTCAGAACATTCAGAATGCCTTGAATGACGCAGGGGTAGGGGATTCCATAAAAGCAACTGTGCCTTTGAATGCTGATGTTTATGGTTCCCCACCAGACAATCCTATCCCGTCTGCTGGAACGTTCCGGACCGATATCCTTGGACAAATGACCCAGATTGTTCAATTTCTAAACAAGAATAAGGCACCCTTCACTGTAAATATATACCCTTTCTTGAGTCTTTATGCCAACGAGCACTTCCCTGTTGATTATGCCTTCTTTGATGGGGTGAGTAATCCTATTGTTGATAATGGAATTCCATACACTAATGTCTTCGATGCCAACTTCGACACCTTGGTGGCATCACTCAAAGCTGTTGGGTATGGAGACATGACCATTATTGTTGGGGAGGTGGGATGGCCGACAGATGGGGACAGGAATGCCAATATAAATTTTGCTTTGAGGTTCTATAGAGGGCTTTTACCTAGACTTGCAGCCAATAAAGGAACCCCTGTTCGGCCTGGGTATATAGAAGTTTATTTGTTTGGACTTATTGATGAGGATGCCAAGAGTATAGCTCCTGGTAATTTTGAACGCCACTGGGGCATCTTCAGATATGATGGGCAACCCAAGTTCCCTATGGATCTTTCAGGTCAGCTACAAGACAAGTATCTTGTGGGTGCCCAAAATGTGCAATATCTTCCTAAGAAATGGTGTGTGCTGAGACCAGATGTCAAGGATATAAGCAAACTAGCAGAAAACATTAATTATGCTTGTACCTTTTCAGACTGCACGACCCTTGGGTATGGTTCTTCCTGCAACGGATTGGATCCCAATGGGAATGCCACATACGCATTTAATATGTATTTCCAGGTCCAGAATCAGGAAGATTTGAGCTGTAATTTTCAGGGTCTCGCCATGGTGACTGATCAGAACGTATCTCAGGGGAACTGCAACTTTCCGATTCAGATAGCTACTTCTTATTCTTCAAACTTGTCCCCCACGGCTTTGGTATTTTTAATATCATTCATTATTTTATTGCTATAGACATTTTTCTGTCTTGTACTATTGGTATTTATTTGACTTAACCATCTGTGATTGTGACTGTTGGTTCATATACCCCCTCTCATCTCCTGATACTTCAATAAGACCTTTAGCTGTTCTCTTTTCCTTTCTTGTTTTATGGTCGCTACAATCTAAGGGTGTGTTTGATTGCATTTATTTTCCATGAAAAATGTCAGTTTTCTACCCAAATTTTTACTTTGAAGTGTTTGATTGCTATTTTTTTCAATGGAAAATATTGTCCAACTTTTAAAAATATGCCTAATTTCTCTTGTTTTTAAGGAAAACATTTTCTTTGAGGGGGGTAGGTTTTTGTTTTTCTCAAAATAAGGAAAATATTTTTTTTTTCTAAAATATATTTTTCATGCCAATCAAACACACTTTACTTCTTCTTGTATTATTCCAACTTTCTTAAGCAGACTATGGTTGCTGGAACACACGATAGATCGAAGGTGTTCTGAAGTCAGTAGATGTCATAGATAGCATAAATCGAAGACTAGTGGTTACTTGCTTATATTACAAGCTTCTCATTAGTTGTCAATAGAATTACCTATCAGCAATGTCATTGCGTTAATGCAAGGGTCTGAACTATTGCCATTTTGCAAATATGAACAATTTTATGTTCTACAGTTGCATTTAATTTGAAGTAGTAGTAGAGAATGTACAAATCACGCTCCTTAATCTGATGTCATGGTAGTGCATATGGCTTTGCGAGGTATTGCCGCCATTCTTCCGGGGTTCCCTTTCGCATTTTCAGCATCTTTATAGCAGTGTTTGTCAAGGGTACGGCAAGTATATCATAGTCCTTGGGGGCCTGTACAAAAGTAAAATTGTCAAAGTAGCCTCACCACAAAGAAGTCAAGAGTACATACAGTACATTATTGATACCTTGGGGACCTTCATCAGTGTCATATTTGCTTCCTCCAAGGTTTTCTGACCTTTCCTTGAATTGCATCTGGCACATGCAGTAACCTGTTTCAAAAAACAATTTCAAAGAATGCGCTTCAAGTAGGCAAAGTTATAAAAGTGAGAAAATAATCATCCATGAGGAAACAGACTAAATTCGTCTGTATACTACATGCTAGAATTCAGGAAAATATTAGATCAAAACATAAAACTCTGCGGCAGATGGCAGTTTGAGTACGAACTTTTCATTTAGTAATCTCTTTTCTCGTGTCATTAGTAGCACCTGGTTTGTACAAAAATATTGGGATTTGCCATTGTTTTTTTCCTTTATTTTATTAGATTATTGGAACTTCCTTATATTACAAAATTAGTTGATATCCTTCCAGGGTTATCTTACCAGATTCTCCCATGTCCACTCTCCCCCTAGTGAGATCGGCAGAACATGATCTACAGTCAAGTTTTCACCAGAAGAACAATACCTGTGAAGCATAGTAATATTATAATTTAATGTCAGGATGCGATGAAGCTAATACAATATGAGAATTTAAGAATGTTACTGCTCACCCTATTTGTCGAGGAAAAATGTATCAAACTAAAAGGAGAACAGGAAGAAAGAGGAGACAAAATTGGTAGCTGATATTACAAGAACAGTATGACCGCATGTCTCGAGAAATTTATGCATTTGTACATGTTTTTAGACAAGGAAAAAATTGCTGTCTGGCAATTCCTGGATGCATCTCAATTTTTCTTACTGCTCTGTCAGAGAGACGTGTTTTGCAATAATTCAAAGTTACACACTAGAGTAGATTGAAAACCGCGAGTACAAAGGTCACCTGTCTCCAGGAAAATGTACACAGAGGTTTAGGCTATCCATAATAAAAAAATTTAAAGAGTAGAAAGCAAGAACAACTTTTTAGTAGCAGTGTAAGAAAAAATAGGATCTCAAGGCACCTGAACCTCTGACAAACTGTTGGTTATTGCTTGCCAAAAGTTTGATTGTTGCCAATAGCATATAAATGACCTCTTGAATTAAATCTGCCACAACATGTTAACTCTTCCCATCGTTATGGAGCTAGTAACCCCAAACAGTGAAGAATCCGCAGGATCAACTAAATTATAGACTTGACAGACCATAAACTGGAACATCCAACACAGCATACTAAAATCAGAAAAAAATACATCTGATGTTTGCTAACTTTCTTTCGCATAAGCAGCAGTTTGTCTGTAAACAATCAATGAATGAGACGAAGTGGATATCGTTGAATGAAAGAGTAGCATTATGATTCTCTAGCTCCACTTTAATCATTTGTCATCCATAAGTAAATGGAAATAGATGAATTATCACCAAGTAATTGCCACTACGTTGTGCGGCTCGGAGGATTGCACAACGGAGAAATTGTCTACAACTTAAGCAGAGGGTATAGGACACTTCCCAATCCTTTTCATTGATATAATGTCTTGCACCAATTAAGTTGTAGGACTAAAACTTTTTGAATTGCATCCAGTACAAAAGGCGGATAAAGATTGCAAAATTCAAAGACACTAGGAGTAAACATTCATGTAAGTTGTAACGAAATAAGCAATTGTGTGATTGCCAACATATTGTTTAGTCCACACTTGAATAACTCTCCTCGTACTCCTTGAAACCTTGAAACTCCAGTATCAGAATTATAGCGACTTAGAATGTCTAAATGATATAGCCATAAGATTCTCAATTTTTTCTCCACGAGCTCCATTTTAGCAGAAAGATGCTTCACTAAACATGCATATCACAATGCAATTGCCAAAAAAAAAAGAGCCTACAAAGGTGCTTATATGATGGAGAACTTACTGACACACGAAATTGTCACGAAAAAAAATATTTTTCCGGCTAAGGCTTCTTTTGACTTTCCTCCTTTTGACAACTAATAAATGAGGAATCTGAGTAGTAGACATGAAATAACCATTAGTAAAAGCAAAACCTGGAGTAATTTGAACATAGAATAGTATTAAAGAGCCAATTGGAACTCGAAATGGTAACTATACATAAAACTCTTTCAACTGACACTTCTTAATAATATCATACCCTTAAGACAGCAGGTATGTAGAAAGAACCGCCAGGAGAGTTAACAGTTTGGTCGTAATATTCTAAAACATCAGCCTGCAAGTTACATTTAGGGGTGGGGTCGTTAGGGATATGATTCTTGTCTAAAAATCGGACAAACAATGAAGTGCAGGTATTTTAATTGATAACAAGCACAAGACTATATCAAAAAATAGAAAGCCACATAGTTCATTAAGCAAAGACAATTCCTTCTAATTTTAATTTATCTGTAATCTGTTCGATGGTCTCATAACAGGCACTGGATCTTGGATTAACAGCAATTTCTTTGGCACAATGAAATGCTCTAAGGTAACTGAACTAGACAACAAGCAACCCACAAGAATCTGACCTTATCCAGGAACTCCAAACAAATTGCGCGCTTCCAGCAGACAACATTAACAGGCCTGGCATGACAGACAAGCCATCTATGTAATTTTACCACTTCAAAGGAATCACAATAAGTATCTACCAATTCACTATACATTGTCAGCCAATTAAACCAATATAAATTCTTCCTACTAATAATTCATTCTTCAACCAAGTAGTCCAAAAATAATTCCTATGTACTACAAAAATCAGGGAATCACACAGAACTTCAGCACTATTCAGAGAAAGGAACAACCTGGAGTCAAGGTTCTAAAATACGTAATGTGTGGCAATGCATTTCGGTCGAACGTCAAGCATTACAAGAATATACGTGTCAATGCGAAGCATATGCATAATTATGCGTTTTCCAATTCTTAATATTATTTTAAATATGTTAAACTAATAAATAAATAAAATAATACTTTCCTTAAACTTTATGCATATTCTTCAAATTAAAAAAAAAAATGCTAAAAATCATAAATACTACAATTACTTGAACTTTATACACATTCTTCAAATTTTTAACAAAGAACTAATGCCCAAAATCATAAATATTATGATTACTTGTTAATCAATTTCTACAATTAGATTAGACACGAATATCTGTTTAAAAAACCCTAAATATTGTCCAATTCTTACCGAAGATTCCAATTCAAACTCCTCTGCATCCAAGTCATCTTCCGTATCATCCGATATAAAATTACTTTTATCGGGCCCCCTTATTTCAACTCAAGAATTTCTATTACCTCTTGTAAATGATAGACTATCATTATTAACCTCCTCATCATTATCATAACCATCAAAAATTCAAAATTATTCATTACTAGCATCACTTGTTAGTAAATTTAGAGAAAGACTGAAGGAGACTTGGGCTCAGCATAGATAGTTTACAATTCTACGAAAAAAATATTTTGATTTTAAATTTTTTTAAACGTTAAAACCCTACAAATTGTTGTATATAATTCATGGGCTTCGGTGACTTGGGTAATTTGATATTGTTGGGCTTAATTTGCTTTTTATAAGTTATAAAAATGGATTGGACTTTGGTAGGCTAATTTTGATACAATTTTTAACAAAAATGCGTGTGCGTTTTGATGTATAAGCGTGCAAATGCAATCAACGAAATGGGTTGACCACATTATCAATCGCATACCCCATATAATAGATGTTTCGAAAATGCATCAAGCATATGCAGGGTATATGTGAAGCATATACGCGCATTTTAGAACACTGCATAGAGTAATTGAATAGCTAAACGCAAGAAAAAAGTATTGTGGCAGAGGAAATAAGAAAAAATCTTAGAGAAGCCTTGTATATTAGATTGGTGCGACAAAATAAAATAGGTACAAAAAGAAAGGATGCAAGGCTGAATTCACTTTTTTGCTATTTAATCATAGCACAGTTGAACACCATAAAATGCATAAGAAGAAGTGCTAAAAATGCAACGGTAAATCGAGGAGTGGACGTGATGGAAAGATAATGGTACAATCTTACCCTACCAGTTTTCAATCGAGGAGTGGACGTGATGGAAAGATAATGGTACAATCTTACCCTACCAGTTTTCAACGCATTATACAAAAGCTAATCTAGATAACTTTGTGTAGAACAAGTTCCATTCTGCCACATCCCTAGCCCTAACACAAGCAGTGCAACTGAATATAACAGAAAAAAAATAACACAACTGAATATAACGGAAAAAAGTGCTAAAAATGCAACGGTAAATCGGGGAGTGGACGTGATGGAAAGATAATGGTACAATCTTACCCTTCCAGTTTTCAACGCATTATACAAAAGCTAATCTAGATAACTTTGTGTAGAACAAGTTCCATTCGGCCACATCCCTAGCCCTAACACAAGCAGTGCAACTGAATATAACAGAAAAAAATGACACAACTGAATATAACAGAAAAAACTGACGGTGTCGCCATGTGTGTTTCAGCCAGTTTTGATTGATGGACATAGCATAAACAGCTCATTGATTAGGAATAAGTAACAGTCTCCAGTGTATAGATCATGCTGGTTCACAACTTAATTTGGACAAATAAATGATTCATGTCAATTGGAAGCCTAAGAAATTTGTGAGACAGTGCAACATAAAAAACCAATGCTAATATAACTATCAAGTAGGGTTCTAAAATTGATTTTGAAATACAGAAAAGCAATTACAGACAGTGGAAGAAAATATAAAAATGTTTCTTTAAAAGCCAAGAGCAAGATCACCCGCAATGTTATAATCGAACTCTGTGATTAAGGACAATGAAAAGTTATCCAAGTATAGTGAGACCTCTCTCTTTGTATTTCTTGGCCTGCTTCCTACTTCACAGTGTTGAATCTTCCCAATTGTTCTGCAAGAACTACTACACAGGTGGATAGCTACTTGACTATGATGGGTATCAAACTAAATCTAGGGCAAATCCAGAAGAGAATACCCAGTATGTGTGTGTCTTCCCATGATGGCAGTTGTCTAGGGGAGCTTACATATCCCCCATGCAATGCCTAAAAAGAAGAAGAAATTATTTATGCAGATGATAAATAGTCGCAAAATGGTCATTTCAGTTGAAGAAGAAAGTGACAAAAAAGTGGAAGAGAGTTCTGTTACAATCCCAGGAAATCCACCCAAAGAAGAAGAAATTATTTATGCAGATGATGAAGAATCCCTAGCGACTTGAAATAGTTTTGTTCAGGAAGTCTTAGAAAATGATGGGCTCGAAAGAATATCTTTCAAGCTATTGCACTTACGATGGCAAGATATGTGATGTAACAATTGATGCGAGAAAAAATGGTATCAACTCAAATCATGGGCTAGTTGAACTTGAAAACAGAGAAGCATCTTCATCCTTAAAGCTCTTGTGGTCTTGGAACAACAATGATATAAGTTATCTTATTTCATTTTCGATTGGATAGAAATGCAAAGATGACTACAAATGGTATGAGCAAATTCAAATTGATAATGTCTCTCAAGAACCTTGTAAACCACCTTATCCTCAATAGAAATATAACAGAAATACTCTTGTGACTTTTGAGACGAATGAAGATGGTGAAGAGCCACTTCCCAGTTCGAATACCTTCATGATTCCCGACATTTTTCTTTATCATGGCAAAACACCAGCTTGGACTTGAGGATGAGACTTTATGACGACAGACGCAATTGAACAAACATAATAATTGTATGAGAAGGAGAAAGAGAAAGAGGAGAGAAGAAGAAAAGAGAAAGGGGAGAAAATACTGATTTACACAAGAGTGTCTCATGCAACAAGGAAAGAACAAAAAGTCTATTCAAGGGGAAACCGAGTTATTGCATGATCAGGGGAGTCTTATTTGGCCAAAGTTTCACTCTTCCATACCTTCGATGCCTCAAACCTTCAGAATCGTCCCAAGCCCTGGCAGAAGTCCATGAAGGTGTATGTGGGAACCACCAATGAGCTCGGGCTCTAACCTTTAAACTTATTAGATATGGGTATTACTAGCCTACCATGAAGAAAGATGCCGCGGACTACGTCAAGAGATGTGTGACAAGTGTCGAAGTTCGACAACATCATCCATTCTCCGATCGGAAACCTTACCCTCGTTCACTGTGCAACCCTATTCGAGCAATAGGGCGTGGACATTCTCGACCCCTTTCCACTGGCCAGGGGACAATTGAAGTTTGATAACCCACAGTTCAGAAGATTTTGCACCAACTCAGGGATTGACCACCATCTTACATCAGTTTCACATCCTCAGAGGAACGGCCTAGCCAATGTTAAATCGGATTATCTTGCAGGACCTCAGAACGAGGCTCCGGGAAGCTAGAGGAGCTTGGTCTGATGAGCTACCCTCTATACTTAGACATATAGAACGTCTCACAAAACCACGACATGTGAGACCCCTTTCATATTGACGTTCGGTGTAGAGGCTACACTTCTAATTGAAATTAGACTGTCGAGCCTCAAGAGACTTCAAACCGAATCCGATGAGCACACAAGAAAGCACCTTGACCTTCTTGAAGAAGTAAGAGAACAAGCCGCCATAAGGGTTGCATCTTACCAAAACAAAACAGCTAAACACTTCAACAGTAGGGTAAGGTCATCCACGAGGTTCAGAGTTGGAGATCTCGTGTTAAGAAGAGTTGAGGCTACAGGACATGCCTCGGGTAAGTTAGGACCTGCATGGGAAGGACCCTCTGAAATCATACGACAAGTCCGTAAAGGAGTATACAGCCTAAGAGATACCTCGGGAAGGCCACTCTTCAGGCCGTGGAATGCTGATAATTTAAAGATTTATTACAAGTAGTTTGTTTTACTTTTACTTAATGATTTTTCTTTTTGCTCTTTTCTTTGGATTGCCGGGTTTGCACGCCCAACGTCTTTTTACCTTTCAATTGGTCGGGCTTGCGTACCCACGTTCAGTTTTTAGATAAGATAACTTTGTTTTGATTAGTTAGTCGGGATTCCATCCCAATAAAATATTTTTTATCTCAAACGACTTCAAAGCCTTGCCCCGAGCAAGCACATCAAAGCCTTGTCCACGTGCAAGCACATCAAAGCCTTGCCCCGTACAAGCGTTCAAAGCTTTGCCCACGAGCAAGCACCACAAAGCTTTGCCCTGAGCAAGCACCTCAAAGCCTTACCCACGAGCAAGCACCTCAAAGTCTTGCTACGTGGAAGCGAATCAAAGCCCAAGCACTCGATTGACCATCTCCTCCAAATTGTTGATCGAGGTTACTGGGTAAACAATGTTGCTCGGGATACATATATCAAGTTTGTAACTTGATAATCTACAAAATTGTTGCTCGAGCTGGTAGCTTCAAGCACATCGAGTTTCTAACTTGGTTGTTAAATCATTATTTTAAATGTTGCTCGAGCTTAGCAGCTTTAAGCACATCGAGTTTCTAACTTGGTTATTAAATCATTATCTTAAATGTTGCTCGAGCTTAGCAGCTTCAAGCTCCTCGAGTTTGTAATTCAAAGAGTGTTACAAGTGCTCAACCATGCACAACTACCCTTATACTTTGATTAAACGACCGGAATAAAGTCTCGAGCTTAAACCGTTAAACATT